ATGGCCATAACGCGTTCCTGGCTAGATCAGGTAGACTGGTAGACTATAGCAAATACATTTTCAGGCGATTTAGACTATTTTCAAGCTCAAAAAATATTTAAGAAGGAACTGAGGGGCTGTCTGAGAGCTCCTTTATGTGACTAAATTCATTGAAACACTATTATCTTTCCTTTCGCTGGCCGATCCTCGGGCCAGGGAGTGGAACTCCCCGAGAGAACAAAATTTTCGTCTTTATCATTCTCGTTTACTTTTCGATTACGTTGACAAGGACAAAACATTCGTTCTATCGGGAAGCTCTACTCCCTGGCCCGAGGATCGGCCACCTGCGGGCCGATCCTCGAGCCAGGGAGTGGAACTTCCCGAGAGAACAAAATTTTCGTCTTTATCATTCTCGTTTACTTTTCGATTACGTTGACAAGGACAAAACATTCGTTCTATCGGGAAGCTCTACTCCCTGGCCCGAGGATCGGCCACCTGGTAGGTACTACTCGTATTGCCTCTACTTGAATACCTACCAAGTTTTAAGAATTGGTATGTTGCTGTTCATGGGTGTTTATACTGTAGTTGTTCAGCTCTAGGATAAATTGGTTTTGTTATACTTAGGTTAGGTTTAGGTCAAGTTTAAGTATTGTTATTATTATTGTTAACTTTCTTTATATTGGGCAGCTGTTCGTTGAAAAATAAAATAAAAATAAACCGAAGTTCGAAGTTGACTGACCTACCGAAGTGACCGGCTCTTAGACTTTGGATCATTTATCTCAAATAATTTTCGAGATTGTTGAGCCTCAAATTTGAAATTTTGTTCTCAAATTTTGAAAAATTCTATCTACAAGTTTTGTATTTAGTTTTTTCTTCGATCTCCGTTAGTATATAGGACATATGAACTACCGCGCGCCTAACTCACAGTGTATATGCTCCTAGATCCTGATGCTTTTTGACATTTTTGAGAATTCTGTTTGTACAACAACTTAAATGGAAATTGGAAATAACAGAACCAAAATTAATTTTATGTGGAATATATAAACCACCAACCTTTATCTAATAAGAATAACTTTATACAATTTATTGATGAGAAACAAAGAAACATATTAACCAATACATAATTGTTAACATAATCATCTGATTATTTTCGATTACTCAACTCGGAAATTCCAACAAGAAAAACAAATAATGTGAGTACACTTATATTGATCATATTATCATCACAAATTCAATTAAACAATCAAATGAAACATCTCTCAACGACCATATGATACAAATTATAAAAATACCTAATAAACAACATAATGAAACCTGAAAGTAACATACATAAACGACCTCAATCTAAATGAAGAAATATTCACTGAAACAAAGTCTTCATAAGAAACACTGATAAATATTTTACAAGAATGTTCATGTAAGAAAATAATAAAAATAAAGAAAAACAACAGTGAAGATTGGTTTAATCAAGAATTCTGAAGCTGAAGCTTTTGCTGACAGTTTGCAAAGCCAATTCTGCACCAACCCGCCACTCCATGCAGAACACGACCGGAACGTAAACCTGACCATTCGACTGCTACTCAACCAGCCTCAACTACACCAACCACCAGTCATCACGAGCGACCAAATACGGCAAATTATAACCGCATTAAACCGGAAGAAAGCCCCGGGCATCGATGGAATAACTAACATGGCCCTTAAAAAGCTGCCCCAAACAAAAGTTAAAGACTCAGTGAAAATAGTCCAAGCCACCTTTAACCTTAGCCACTTCCCCTCCAGATGCAAGTTGGCAAATATAATACTGATCAGGAAAAGTGGACAGTCCGGCTAAAATCCCACCAGCTACCGACCGATAAGCCTGCTTCCAGCCCTGGGGACAATCACAGAAAGAGTCATCAAGTGGGACTTGCAAGACTCTGCTCACCGGCTCAATGTGATCCCAAATGAACAGATGGGATTCAGAACTGAACACTCCACCGTTCATCAAGCCACCAGACTGAAGGCCCTAATCCAACAGGGTGCTAACAGATGCATGGAAACCGGGGCAGTTTTCCTAGACATCGCAAAGGCGTTTGACAAAATGTGGCACCAAGGCCTTATATTAAAACTGCTCCGTGCCGGCTTCCCACACTACCAGGTCCGACTGGTGACAGCATTCCTCAGTGACAAGAGCTTCTGCGTCTCCATTAACCCGAACACCGCCAACGCAGCCAAATCAACGTGGCGTCTCGTCCAAGCGGGCGTCCCTCGAAGTTCTCAACTCAGCCCGCTCCTTTTCAACATGTTCATGGCCGACATACCCAAATCCAGGGAGTCCAAACTACTAGCTTACGCCGACGACACGGCTATCCTCGCTACAGCCAGAAGCAGGCCAATTTATCAGGGCATGTCTCCAAAGACACCTGAACGATAAGCCTAGATGGATAGGTGGAGACTTTAAATCAATCCAGCAAAAACCCAGGCCATAGTGTTTGGGAACAACCGAAAACGCCCGCCACAGGAAACAATGAAATGGAAAAACACCAACCTGACATGGAAGTCACACATAAAATATCTTTGCATCATGTTCGACAGGCAACTAAATTGGAAAAGCCAAGTCCAATATACTGGGAACAAGACTCAGGGCCAGTTCAAACAACTGTACTCTTGGTCAATCAACATAGCAGGATGAACACCAGGACGAAGCTGAATACCTACAAGTTATACATCCGGCCCATTTTGACGTATGGTACCCAAGCATGGTATACTACGGCGTCCCCAAATAACCGTCTTCCACTAGACAGTCTGAAAAACCGATTCCTCCAGAACATCACCAACGCCCCATGGTTCGTCATGAACACGACTATCCGGAGGGATACCCAGATTCAGCCTCTAGAACATCACATCCATGAGCTATGCGACAACCACTTCGACAAGGCCGCAAACTCCGTTAACCCTCTGATCAGGGATAGCCACATACCAGCTACCCCCCGGGTCAACCCACCCCTTACCAGGGAACTACACACAGAGGTAGACAGTTATACCTCACACATGACCCGACATGGAAGGGCCACCACAACCATCCACATATCAGGACCTGGGAATCCAGAAGAAGCACTATCATAAACATGGGAACATAAGGTAATATACCTTTCCCACAATCACAAATCAAATTTCAGCCATGACAAAAAAAAAAAATCAAGAATTCTATAATCTGATGAATAGGAATAGTCTAGGAGGCAGTGAAATTTTTTAGCACTTATTTCCCCAGTTGGTGTCTATGAAATAGTTTGTTCTCCTGAAGCAAGAATTTTTGAGTCTGGCTAAAATTTTCGGATGGTTCACAAGATTAATGAAAAATACTACTACGCTTATTTTCCCAGACATAAATATTTCACATTTAGTACAATAGAACATAAAGTATATGAAAATAGCAATTTGGCTTAGGTATCTCAGATAGTGAAAGTGAGTCTGGCTGAAAATTTTCGGATCTTAAATTTTTCACTTGCCAGACATATTATTCATTCTCACAGATTAGCCGGACTATTTTTTTACGTAACTTCAGTATACTTCTCATTAGTAGACCTATTTTTATCACTGAGAAAAAAAAAGGGCCGTGCATCGTAAGCTTTAATGCATTTTGCGCCTCAACCCATCGGAAAACCCCCCCTAAAAATATATGTATTTTTTCTACAAACGTGTTAAAAATGCAATTTTTAACACCCCCCCGAAGCATTAAAAATGTTACTTTATCGCACTAGTGCCATAAAGTCTTTATAGCACTAGTGTTAAAAATGAAACATCAAATTTTGAGAGCGAATGTCAAAAAAAGTTTGTATTTTTAGTTATTTACATTGATATTAATGGTGAAATTTGAACAACTGAGGTAGCCCGATTGGCCGCCTCATCTATATTTTTCAAGGGATCGATGCAACCCTCTTTTTCTTCTGTATTTTGTTGCATTTTAAGCAAAAAGCATTACTAACCACGACAGTCTTTCAAGAAACTGACAAGACATTTCATTACCTGTAAAACAAGGTGCTGGTTGTTTGAACTTTTTGACAAATGTCAAATTCAATAATTTTATGTAGGAAAGATGCTTCCAATTTAGCATTCATTAAAAAATCCAATGGTTATTGCTTTTTATTGCCGTTTGTAGAAAAAATATTGTATGATATTTGTGTTAAAAGTATTTTTAAGGCACTTATGTGAATTGCAGAATTCGCTTCGCTCATTCTGCAAACTTTCACATGCGTGCCTTAAAAATGTACTTTTAACACTTATATCATAAATAACTATTGCTTAGAATTACTAACCCTACAATTCTATCCAAGTTGTCTGACTGGGAAAATGAGTACCGAAAATTGTCACTAATGTCACTGCCTCCTAGACTAGAACGTAATAAACTGAATTTTATGAAAACACAATAATCAAAATGATATAACATCATGGTAGTACATAAGAAAGAAGATAAAGGAAACGAAAAAAAAATACTTTGAAGAAAAATTACAAATCTAGTAGAGAGATTTTATTAGACTTGCGGAATCCGTGACCATTATGTTAATCCATAAAACTATACTATAAAGTATATTTCCATTATTCACGTGGATAGATAATAACAAAACCATTTAAGATTTTTGAGCAGTCATGCACTGATAATTCACTTAATCAAGGTGTAAATGAAAATCCTGATGGATAACATATAATTATTAATAGCCAATCCCTTGAGCAGGATAATATCAGGAAATTTACAATAAACCTCAGCGCCAGTCAAGTGTAACTTATCTAATAATATTAATTTATTGATCATATACTTTCAATAAATATTAAGCATCTAATGTTTTAAAATAGATGTCAAATATGAGCGCGGCACGCGAGCCTATTAATTTAAACTAACAATTAATTGGACTAAAAAGTGTGTTTTACATTTCATAGACGTTTTGACCTTAAGATACAAAAGAAATACATAAATCAGATTGTGAAATAAGACGGGATGTTTACGGCCGGACTATAATTAGTTTTACATTTAAACGATTACTTACCTTTCCTCGACTGTTAAATTACTCAACTCTGGTATCCAGCACCAATGGGTTTCCGGTACCAAAGTTATAAAGATTTGACTAAAGTACACCCAGGCTACGAAGAAGGCAAACGGTATCATCATTACGAACAAAAATATTTGGTAATATCCGAAGGCACCGATGTGAGGAAACAAATCGTCGAAATCAAAGTTTTCGTCCTTTTTCGATTTTTCATTTGGAATTTTTTCAGGGTTTTGGTTCTGGTCGTTGACAAAGGCCTTGTTGGTGAAGCTATCGAAAGAGTCAACATTTTTGATGATGATGATTTTGATAAGAATCGACACTCACCCATCAGTTTGTAATTCCATTTTGTCACACTCTTCACTCCTTTGATTTTGTTCAATTTTTTCTTGAGGAGGCATTGTCACCAATCACCAAAAACCGAACTTATTGAAAATCGAAAAATTGACGCCGGGCTAACGCACAAGAGGCTCTCCTAGGTTGGCCCTCTTATGGGAATTCCCGACTTTACGCGACCGAAAAAAAAAAATTGGAGACGGACTGAAAGATTTTGCAAGAGATCTTGTGCATTTATAGTTTGTTGGTACTGCCGCGGGTACTTTAACCTTGTCAAGAAAACGCGGCGACCAATATCAGTACCAACGTTGCCAATAATTACACCAAATTAGATGATTTTAAGCAGCAAATTTTTTTTTATTCACATAAATAACGCATGTAAGGAAGCATTATTGTACTGCTAACAACTTGTAATATTGGTTTAACTATTTATATTACCACTATTATCACATGCCTTATCGTTAAGTGGATGATAATTAATTTTTCATATCAGGTATATATATATTTTTTTAATTAGCGGGAATTCAAATTGAACCTAAACTAGTCGATGCTAATTGGAGATTTACGCAAACAATCAGGAAACTGTTGCCCGCATGATCTTTGATTTGTGAAGTTGTGGAGCAAATTTTAATGTCGATAACCAAATTCTGACGCACATTTTTTTAAAATCGACAGAAAACTATTTTCCAAAAATTGTGATGTTTGGAGTGTGTTCCCAAGAGAACCAAATTCTGCCAGGGATTTCTTGTAAATAGACAGAGAAACTGTCTTCTACAGATCCCAATAAAGTCAATTCGGACAGAGATTTGTTGAAAATCAACAGAAATCTGGGGACCATTCCAAATTATGTCGTCGATAATGTCTTTGAAACAGACAGAAAAAGATTATATTGAAGATTGTTATATTGTTGCTTGGTTACTGACAAAGTTTGAAGAGTGTCGCAGAGATTTCATTGAATAAAAAATAAGATTTTGAAATGTTGAACAATCTTTTGGCAACATAGCAATTTTTCCAGCCTCAAGTATACCACTACGGTAGCTACTTAATGCTCCCGTTACGAAGAATATGACTAACGTCACGGTACTTCCTCGAAAATCTGGAATTCCCTACTGAAAATTCTTTGGGCCACTTGTTTGACGCAGAAAAAGGAAAGTGAATCAACATAACTTAATCATAGAAAGAATTTGAATTGACCTTTTGTGTAATAATGCTATAATAATATGTTTCTAATACCCATAGGTGAATATTTAACGGGTCCGACCTCGGAATGACCCGATTTATGTCCACCTGCGTACCTACCCGGAACAGGAAATTTAATTTTATTAATGTGGGTGGAATTAAATGTAGATCAGATGTAAAGTCGGGCTAATATGAAAATCTTGATTTAAAAACGTGTTTCTAGGTGTTTTGGTTAGTAATTAAGAGCTTATTAACAAGTATATGATAATACATTTATTATGCGCAGCAGATTAGTAGGTAATCGAAAAAACACACATATTATTTTAAATAGGTGTTTGTATGTCATCATCATACCAAATCATCACTGATAAGTTATTTGAAAAAGATTAACTAGTTATGAATAATTTTATTTTAGAGCTAATTACCAATTACCCACTGCATTACTAGCGTGAAAATACATTGTGAGATAATACACTTTTTTTAATGTTTTTGTTGATTTTCTAAATTTATTTTTCATTTTTTAACTTTTTTTTGTTTTACATTTTTTTTATTTTCACCACCCGGCTTGGGAGGCTACGGGGGAGCGTCGGCAGGTGGCGGATGGCCGGACGGCCTATGTTTTATAGGTAATCACCGAATATCCAATAAGGTGATGCTGACCAACCCTCCAATCCAAGGTGTAACGCGATCCGTGCCGAGGGATGCATGACGGTGGGATAGCACCGCCTCAAACGGAGCCTTGAAGATACCGGGCGACCTCTTCAAGTAACCAGCCTTACCACGTCGTGCGCGGCTCCGACGTGGCTGACCTTTATTTCCCTAGCTATTCGTGGGAACAGACATGGATAAGAAAAACTCAAAAAACAAAGAAAATCGGGACGAGAACGCTAAACCAACTGCTGACCGAATGGAGCATGACATCCAAAACAATCAGCAGGCGGGACCCTCAAACACTCCGAGATCACCTCAGAGACAAGAGAGCCCTGCAAAAGATAAGAAGGGGGAGAAACCCCAAAGAAGAAAGGCTGATCCTAGGAAAAAGCCATATACTACCCACCTTTTGGTCAACCGAGAGGGCTTGATGACCCACAGAAAAGGCCTCAGTGGAGCTGGAGTGCGATGGTACCTCAGGTTTCTTTAACAGGGCATAACACCAGAGGAAGCCAGAGAAAATGCACTGACCAGGAAAGTGCAGACACCAGACAAGGTACAGAAAAGGGGGGCCAAAAACATAAACCCTCCGCACAAAGCGGACGTGAAAAGGAAGAGGACGGAACCTCCTCATGCTGACAGAGCCGCTGGGCCAAGCACCAGCTACGCCGAGTCAGCAAAAACCATAAAGGTGGCAGCACTCCCCGCGGCATGCCCTAAGGAAACCCTCAGTGCAGAAGAACTTTCTGCCCTAGAGGACGCCATTGTGGAGGAAATGATGAAAGGGGCGGAACATAAACTCCAATTTGGAGGCATACATTTCCGACCAAGCATGCTGGTGATTGATTGCCTCACCAAAGAAACAGTTGAGTGGCTGATAGAACACGTCCCCAGGTGGGAAACCTGGCAGGAAAGAGAGCTGATGGTGTGCCTGGGAGACGACATCCCAAAGGCGCACACCATCACAGTCTTCTTCCCAAGAAGCAAAGGGCAAGACCCCCTTAAAATCCTAAGCCTGGTAAACACTCAAAACGAAGGGCTTAGCACTCAGCTGTGGAAAGTAATGGGCTGCAAGGACGAGGGTAATGGCCAGCTACTCAACATCGGCATAGACGATGGGTCCTGCGAAACCATTAGGAAAATGGGGTACAACCTCTATACGGGAAAATCCCCGTACACGGCCTAAAGAAGAGAAAAGGTGAAGAAGAAACAAACGAGGAACCGAAGGAGCCCACCTCCTCGGAATCCAAACCGGAGTCTCCTTCAGAAGAAGACGAAGGGAAAGAGGACGAAGGCCTTGAGGAGGGGGAGAAAACTCTCACTCCTGCAGAGGAAGTTCCCAGTGAGGAAGAAAAAATGCTTCTAGGCGATTAAGAGGTCATCACTCCACCAAACCAGAAACAACAATAACAGGTAAGATGGCGAATTACACCACAATAGCCCAGGTGAACGCACATTACGCTAAGGAAGCATCTGCTGCCATAGCGCGGTTGTTCACGTCGGCACACTTGGGAGCCGTACTAATCCAAGAACCTTGGATACACAAGGGGCAGATCAAAGGCCTGTCAAGTAAAGCGGCAAAAATAGTCTGGGACAGTCGGTGTAACGACCCTAGAGCATGCATTCTCCTGAATGAAAATATTAATCATTTATGTCTTTCAGAATTTACGTCGCGGGACTTTGATAGGGTTCGGGTTAAACTTACCACCGACCCACCACACCGCGACCTAGTACTGGCATCAGGCTACATTGCTGAAGATGGGCAAGCACCACCAGAAGAAGTACAGATACTAGTCGAGTACTGCAACAGGAACAAACTACCGCTCCTAATTGGCTGTGACGCCAACGCCCACAACACTATCTGGGGAAGTACCGACAAAAACCTAAGAGGTGAGCAACTGTTAGAATTTATCTTTCAAACAAACCCAAATATACTTAATGTAGGGAATACACCAACCTTTGTTACTAGGGTCAGACAGGAGGTGTTAGACATAATACTTTATAGTCCAAATATTGACCAAATGATCAGGAATTGGAGAGTCTCGAATGAACCCTCTCTCTCTGATCATAGAATCATAATATTTGAAGTAAAAGGAGTGCAGGAAGGAACTGCCTCGTAAAGAAACCCCAGAAACACAAACTGGGAAGAATACACAAGCAAACTGCAACGCAACCTCAAACAAAATAAGGTTAGCTGCAGAAACACACGTGAAGTAGAAGAAACCCTTCAAATCCTTAACGGAGCAATCATGGAGGCATACGAATCCAGTTGTCCTGTGAAGGAACAAGTAAACAAAAAAGGTTGCCTATGGTGGAATAGTCACCTGTCACGACTTAGATCCTAGAGACTTTTTCGCGATTAGAACGGCTCCTACAACTAAGTACAAAACCTACATAACGTAGGTATTTTTCAAAAAATCAACACTGTAGGTACTACTTTACACAAATCAAAAATCGTAGTAAAACGTAGTGTATAAATAAATACACCTCACAGAGTACAGAAGCTTGCCTATTGGCCTCCAACTTTTTTTTGACAGCTCGTTGGATTGCCTTATTGGGAAATGTCAAACATTTTCGATCCAGCAGAAATTTGCTGCCAACTCAAAAACATCTGTCACCAACATGTTTCCAACTTTTTGCTGGAACAAACCTTTATCACTCTTTACAAAACCATAAAACATATTTAATAGACACTTTAAGTTAGACCAAAAACGTTAACGTAATTTTCAAACGTAAACCCTATTTTTCAATATAGCGTCGAGTGACCGTCACTGCTCATAAATCAGTTTAAGTTAAATTTTCACGTAAGCGTTAACGTTATATCACACAATTGTGACCTAACCTCTAAATTTTGTTGTGAATAGGATGAATTATTATTATTTTTTTTTTTGATTATTTTCAATTACCTGGTTAACTTTTTTCAAGGTTAAAATACTTTCGGCAATTGTCGACACCGGCAATCTGGCTTTCGGGCGCATTCGGTTTGGCGAACGTTTACGGATAACGTACACGCAAAGACCCGCTAAATAACGTGACACGTAATAGGCTATTTTTGGTAAAAAGAAACTGCGCATGCGCATCTGTCAAATCCTACGTTAGCGTTAACGTGTTTTGTCTAACTTAAAGTGTCTATTGACTATTTACCTTCCTGTTGTAAAATATGATGAAGTACCTAACGGTAAAATGCGATATACAGTGTAGCCTCGAATATTCGAACTAATAAATTGCAAGCCACAGTGCGGTTAACCAATTTTTCACGATTGATTGGATTTGAAATGCGAAAACATATTGGAAAATCTCTATTGCGAGTGATAAGATAAATAAAAATACAATAGTTTATTCTATTTTTACTGGTAGTTAGTACCTAGATTTTTATTTAATATAAGGTACCTGACCCAAATAAGGCCATGTACCTGATAAGGCCAATGCCCCTTATTGTTTAATATTGAGTCCCATCTTCAAAAATTACAATATTACTAAAAAAGATATCTATAATGCAAATGGAAAATTATTGCGAGGATTCCTAGCAACTCGTTATATGTCGAAAAATGGCTAACCATAGATTTCATATGTCA